AATATAACGTTTAATTTTAATACTTGCTGATTTTATATTTGTGAGAGTTTCCTTTTTTGGAGGGGGTAAAAATAACACTTATGCTACCTCCCTGAGAATAGTGTGAGGAAAGTCCATTGTTAATCTTGATGTAGTACATAAATGTGAGTTACTACCAATAGAAGTCCTCTGAATGAACAAGTTATAGAAACGTAATACCAAAATGATTGGAAGTCATTCACTGATATTGAATTCTACCTCATTTTGGTTGGTGTTTAGTTTAGTAAAGACTAGTAACAATTTAAAAAGAAATTTCTAAAAATATATCTTTATTTCCATTTCTTGTAAATGTATAGTTGGTTATACTGTTTCATACTGTGGAATCTCAGGAATCTTCCTGTGGCTTTGGAAACAAATCCAACGGTGGGACATGTGCACATAGATATGAAAAATCTCCACTTACTATCTTCCTATAGAAAAATTCTGGTTGATTTTTCTCAAATAACCAAATATCAAAAATTGCTTTTCCTTTAGTCAGATTATGACTTCTGCAAGTATTTAAATGAAAGACTCCAAATGGGAAATCTAAGTGCTGCCTATAAGTGATTTACTTAGTAAACATAAGAGAACACACAGCTTGAAAGATTCAGTAAAAAAAAAAAACAAAAAAAAACCCTACACACTGTTTGAACAGTATTGCTTTTGTCCTCAAACTGTCAACTGCTTTACAGTTTTTGAGAAGTTTATGGGAGTCTATTTACTGTTTGCAAATGGTCACCTTATCAGAGCTGTCATTACCAAAAACAACCCAGGTTTTTCTCCTATAAACACATCCTCTCCTCTACCATTGCCTTTGTCAAAACAGTCGATTACTATTTAAAAGCCATGAGTTTTATCATATGTACTGATTCAAAATTATAACTAATCTAGTAATGCTGGTACATAAAACAGGTGTCCCATTCAGAAGCTGATAGAGCTTTTTTTCCCCTTGTATGAAACTACAAACAAACAAATTCACCTAAAAGGTTTATTGGAGTAGAGGTCAAAGGTTTGAAAAATAAAGGTAGACTGGAGAAGCAATGACAAGGAGTTTTGTCCAAGTTACTTACTAGGAAGGAAACTATACAGTTAAGCCTAATTCCTAATAGTAAAAGTCTTAGCTGTCATGGTATGATTCTTTTCCTCAGAATACTCTTTTTTTGCATTGAATAGGCAACACCCAACCCATAAAAGTATTTACATACATTTAAGCAAAATATAGTTTTGACATTGGCTTTAGCAAAGTTCTGTATCTTTTGACCTGATCTATACCTAGTAATCTCTCTATTATATCATTGTTGGGAGAGAAATGAAGACTTGGAAAGAGATAGCATTTATTTTTTGACACCAATAGTGAAATAAATGATTGACTCTTCCAGCAACAGTCACAATTCGTGAGTTTTTGTTGATTGACATTAAATGAGAATGAAAGAGATATCTGATCTGTTATGAGTAGAGGAGATTGTGCAGATATCAGTACAGACCCATCACCACTGGAAAAACAAAAACAACACTCCTTTCTTAATGAAAGTGGATCTTTATGATAGGGATAGACTGATTAAAAATCAATATAAGGAATAAAGAAAGTTAAGTAGCTTCTGGTTCACAAGTTCAATAAGTAAAGAAACAGGATAGGAATTAGACCTATGATTTCAATGGTATATGGAACTCTCAGGTGATGAAAGCCCTTCTGCCAATATAGATAATATTTGTAAAGTGATTAGTATAGTACATGGCAGGTGGGTGCTTAATAAGTCAGTCTTTCCTTCTCCCTTTCCCTTCCTTCCTTGCTTTGTTATTTCCTTCTTTCCTTCCTTCCTTCCCTCTCTGAAAATTATTGCCTTAGAGAACTGCCTCAGTCACTGAGAGACTAAGTGATTTGCCCAGGGTCACACAGCTAGTATCTGTGAAAGGTAGGATTTGAACCCAGGTCAGCTCAGTGTCCACTCTGGCATTATTATAGCTCCTTTCTCCATGAGCTATTTAATTACTGAAAATAATGGTGAGAAATTGAGTGACATTACACAAATGATTTTTAGTGTGCATAATAATCTATGAATTATCAGTTTATTATACATGTATAATCAGTTTATTATACATGTTGATCTGGGAATCCTTAATCAAACCTTCAATCCACACAATAAAATTACAGAGCATGGACCTTTGTGAGAAAGGGGAAGTTCTCATGGAGGTGAACTTTCACACTGGCTCATCACTGACTGATAAGCAAGTGCTTGTATAGGAGCTCTTCGTTGGTTCCTATATGTTCCCCTACTTGGGGACTGTGTTGATGACTGACTCATGAGTCAAAAGAAACTTGCCTCCTTGGTGGTTTATAAGAAAGGTAGAAATGATTACACCAGTTCGCTGTGTAACTTAAATCTAAAGTAGAGAATGCTCTGGATATATTCCCAGAGAGACTGGCCTCAAAGAAAGTAGGTGTAGTCATTTTTACCCTCTTTTTTTCAGTTCAGCAAGGTGGGGAAATTCTACCTGACTTACTCAACAGTCATCTTCAACGCAACTCCTAGGCATGGAGACACACAGAGATCAGTCAGGAGATGCCACGCATACCAAAGCAGCTGCCCTTCAGTGCTGAGCCAGTAGGAAAACGTTCAGTTCCACAGGAAATTTTCTTTTCTGACAAAAAATAACTGTCTATAATTTCATGAAGGGGGTTGAGGGGACTCAATTCACTATGCATGTATAAGCTGTCTGCATTTGTTATGCTGTTAGCATTTGTTGGTTTCTGGCATCAGAGGAAAAAATGTTTATTTCGGATATAGGTTTGTGTAATTTTTTCTTAAAGGGTGCCATAATATAATAATAAAAAAAAACCACATCAGCTACAGAGTTAGAAATCTGTGGATTTAAATACTGACTCTACCATTAGCTTGCTGCTTAGCCACGTAAGTTATCTGAGCCTCAGTTTCATCATCTGTCAGAAAGGAGAAAAGGCTTTGTACTCTCTAAAACACTGTGCAAATATAAATAGTGATCACTATTACTTTAAAAATGAAAGTGGGAGGCTTTATTATAGTATACAGAGCACTGGATTGGAAGTCAGAAGACCTGAATGCTCGTTATTTTCCTTACTCTCAGTTTGACTTTGAGCAAATAGACCCAGTTTTCTCATCTGTACAATTAGCATGTTGGACCAAGTAATCATTAGAGTGTTTTCCAAATCTAAATAATGTGATACTATTGTTTTTCTTATATTTCTTTTAAGTGTTATACTTGTTATTAAGTATGTGATAGATTGGGTTCTTTTGTTTAAAAAGCTTAAAACACAGAAGACAAGCTGCTTCTTCAAATGACTGATCATAAAATGTTTCTAAGCTCTTTTATGTTTTGGCTTAATAGACTAGGGATGAACTGAGAGCTGGCCTGTGTTAGAGAGTTACATGGAAAAGATGTATATATTATGTGGAGAAATAAAGAAAGATATAATGATGCATTCCATGGGAGGTTAAGATCACTGGAACATAGGTTTAGAATTGAGAGAGATTTATAGGTCATCTAGTACACAACTCCTTCATTTTCCAGATGAGGAACCTGATGCCCAGAGTAGCTAACTTGATCACACTCACATAGAAAAAAGGACATGAAATGAATAATGGAGACTGGAGTTATACTGTGCAGTGCCTGAGGTTGAGGACAAAAATCTGCCTTGGAAGATTCATATTTTAAATTAATGTTTTTGTTTTTAATCTAGTTTCCTTTCTCATTTAGTTCCCCTCTTCCTCTTTCCTCAGTCCATTTTAGATCCATCCTTAGTTAGTTTTCAGTAAGCTACAGGGGAAATAAAATTACCCAAACATTACAGTGACATTTAGAGGGGGGAAATAATAAAGTATTTGATCACAAGCTCAAGTGATGCAATTATACGTGGGGATATTTGGGACCATGCCTATATTAAATATGAAAAAAATCTAGAATACCTCTCTCATTTGTTCACTGCCAAATAACTAGCTATATTAGATAAGAAAGCAGACCCATAATATAAAAATTTTTTAAATCCTCAGGATTTTTTTCAATAGTGGTGGTGCAATGGATAGAGTGCCAGGCCTGGAGTCAGAAAGACTCATCTTCCTGAGTTCAAATCTGGTCTCAGATACTCCATAGCTGTGTGATCCTGGGCAAGTCATTAAAACCCTGTTTACCTCAGTTTCCTCATCTATAAAATGAGCTGGAGAAGGAAATGTCAAACCACTCCAGTATCTTTGCCAAGAAAATCTTAAATGGGGTCACGAATACTTAGACAAGACTGAAGCAACTGAACAACAAAATTTTTCCAAAAGATAAAAAAGAACTTATATAAATGAGAGCATATACCTTAAAGCAGCCCCCCTCCCCAGAAACTCTAAATCACAGATTCTTAACTTGGTGTTCACAGATCCTCAAAGAGTTCATAGATAGATTTCAAGGGGTTTGTAAACATGAATGGGAAAAAATTACACTTTTAATTTCACTAACTAAAATTGAACCTTTCCTTCAATTAAAAAAATATTATTCTGAAAGAGTTGGCTTTAAACTCCTGCCCCAGATTCTCTCCATTGTTGTTGCCATTGCTCAAAATATTTTTTGGGAACTTATCTCTTAGCTTTGCTTTCAGGGTCAGTTTAGCAACCACCCAAGAAAACCCACATCATCATTTGTTGTCATGCTTTAAAACAAAAACAAACAGAATTTTATCACTCAGTTTATTTATTTACCCTTTTCATTCAGCTTGTCTCTAAAAGATTTTGGAGGAGAGGTTTCTAGAAATCAAATCTATTCTCAAAAGATAAATATGTGTTATCACTGAGGGTATGTCAAAGAATATGCAGTAAGGCACATACCAAATGTGAATTTCTGTCCAATCCTATCTTAAGTCCTCCCTACAATCTGATTCTTTTTGGATTGATACTATAAGGCTCTTTGTATTATTAAAACAAGATAACTGCAATTTACTTTTTGTGTGTTTTTTTCTCCCTCTGCAGGAAGTAACCAAAGCAGTGCAGCCTCTTTTACTGGGACGAATCATAGCCTCCTATGATCCTGACAACAAAGTAGAACGATCCATTGCAATTTATCTAGGCATAGGTCTATGCCTTCTCTTCATAGTGAGGACATTGCTTCTACACCCTGCCATCTTTGGCCTTCATCACATAGGAATGCAGATGAGAATAGCCCTGTTTAGTTTGATTTACAAAAAGGTAATGTCTTTTTGAAAATACATGATGGCATAACAGGAAGATTCACTTTGGTATATGTTGTGAATGAATCCTGCTAGCATGAAGCCTTTTTTAGATGCCATAAATTCACAATCAGATAGAAATCACAAAGGTTTGAATTTTAAAATAAACTTTGGAGAATTATTTAAAATGCATTTATTCCTCCTTTCCTTTCCCTGCCTTCTTCTTCATTCCTTTAGACATGTTATTTTCCAGGAGAATGCAAGTACCCGGAGGGCAGAGACTATTTCATTTTTTGTCTCTGTATTCCCTGCAGATGGCACAGTTCCTGGTACATAATAGATGCTCGATCAGTGCTGATTGAATTGAATTGAACTGAAACACTGCCAGAAGCACTAGAGTCAGGGTACTGATGTCATTAAATGTCAATATCAAAATGAGTCATATTTAAAATTTTTGTCACCTAATTAACATTGCTATAGCACATTGTAGTCTTCTGAGCTAGAAGTCACCTTAGAGAACATCTACTCCCAAACCCCTTATTTTACAGATGAAGAAGCTGATGTCCAAAGAGGGAAGTGACTTGCCCAATGTCACAGAAGTAGCAACATGGAACTTGAACCCATATCTCCTGACTTCAGATGCACCATTTATACTGCTATACTATATTCCTCTTCTTCAAATCTTAAGGCTATAAACTTCATTGCCAAGTGGATGCAGGCTGCCATATGGCCCATTTTTAACTTATTTTTTATTTCCCATTAAAGTGACTATCCCCATCTACATAAAAATTAGCAGAATTTGACCTTTAAAATTAATTGATGGAAGTAAAGTTAAAGAAAAAATGAAAGATTATATTTTAAATTCTAAAAAAAGAATTATCATAAAAAATACCAGGAAAACTTACAGTCCTAGCATGTTGTAATAGAAAAGTGTAGCCTTAGATGGGGCTTGATTTTACATTCCTATGAACCCTGCAGATCTCATTATTTGTACTAGTATATGCATTACATGCTAGCAGTAAGTACGTGCTCATTCAGTCTACCCTACCTCTGTTTGTAATGGCAAGCATTCAAAAAAGGGTCTGATTTTGCCAAAAGCACTGTAAGTGGATTTAGCCCAAGACATGTTATTTTCCAAACAGGATTTAGAACTGTTATAATGACATATGCTAAGGCCAGTCCTGAGTTAACACAATGTGTGGCTTCCTAATTCTGTCAAGTAGGAATAGAAAGATATTGCAGTAGAGACGTTTGGTAATTTCTTTACCATTCGTTTTTGAAAATGGCGACTTTGTATAGTTGAGTTAATAAAGACAAACAACGTGCAATTCGGCATCAGAGAAGATCCTAATAACAATTTCATGATACAAAAGCTAGATCTCCTCTGTTCTAAAATCATAATACTCATCCTTTATTATTAGGCAAACTTTGTAGTGGGAAGAGGAAGAGAACACATTCTCTATCTTAATCAAATCACTGAAGACCGTCTCCTAAGTTAACAAGCATTAGAAAATAACAATGATGTAATCTTTAGTTTAGAAACTGATCTAAACACTGTTTTGTGAGAAGAATTTATAATATTTTTCCTGGAGTTTAGAGTCTGTACAACATGGACATCAGAGAGAAAAATATCATAAAGAAGACTCTGATTTGTAAACATATCCATAAGTGGTACTTACACCTTATCATTCTTTTCCCATGGGTCCTTGCCAAATTATTTTATCTCTTCAGCCTCACCCTCACGGCATCCATAGTTATCATCATTAAAATAATATAATGAGAATGCATAGCACTAGTTTAGGCACTACACTTGACCATGAGTAAGACCTACCCTTGCCTCACCCTTTCCCATGCCCAGTCGGTTTTTACCCTTATGGCAACTAGCCACTCACCACTCCCAACTCCATTCTTGTCATCTCAACTCCATTCCAACTTTTATGATAGAGCAAGTTGTTCTATTTTCTAAGTTCTGCAGTCTGGCAACACCTTTATAATTTAACTACTAGTCATAGGCACTAATAAAATAAAACAAAACAAAACAAAAACAAGTGCTAGCTCCTTTAATTAGATCCTTATGAAAAGATTTTCCCAAGTGGAAGAATAAATCAAATCAACATACATATATATATATATATATATATATATATATGGATATGTATGTATTGAATGCTTTCTATTGTGCTAGGATATGTGATGCAAGGAAGTATAAGATATGGTCCTTGCCCTCAAAGCTTTCAGTCTTTTAAAGAATTGTTCTCCTATCTCACAGGACATTTGTGAGGATCAAATTAAATAATATATAAGCACATTAAATATAATTTTTATATTATATTATTATACACACATGTATGTGTATATGTATGTCTATGTATACACACACATACACACTCATACCACTCCTTAGGTTTTGATATCAATGCGCTATTGATGATAGCATTTGTGATTTAATTTAATGTAGGAATAGACATTTCTAACCAAAATTATTAAGTGAGAAATTATAATTAAGTTATCTATAATAGATCAGAGTCTATGGATTTTTATACCACAGGATTTCAATATATCTTGTTGAGTCATTTCAGTAGTGTCTAACTCTTTGTAACCACATTTGGGATTTTCTTGGCAGAGATACTGGAGTGGTTTGCCATTCCCTTCACCAGCTCGTTTTACAGATGAGAAACTAAGGCAAGCAGGGTTAAGTGACTTGCCCAGGGCCACGCAGCTAGTAAGGGAGGCCAAATTTGAACACAGGTCCTCCTAACTCCAGGGCCCATGCTCTTTCCACTGTGCCATCTAGCTGCCCTTTTGATATATCACTATATCCTTAGTATGTTCTCTTCATTGATGCAGGTTGTAACTTATCTGTTTCTTATCCTATTAGAATCTTGTCCATGTTCTCCTATAACTTCTCCATGCTAGAGTAACATTTTGTGGATAGCCTTGGATCATTCAGGCTTCACTAAACATAATCTCCTAGGGCCTGTTTGTTTCATTTTTTGCTTTTGGATCACTAGCACCTAACATAACACTCAGAACATTTTTTCTTTTAAAGTATCAATCATTAATTAATATTATGTCTAATATAGTATGCATTTAAGTATTAATGATTCACATATAATGAAGTTTTAATAATTGTATCAGCTGAATAGTTATAAAATAAAAAATATTAATGCCAAGATTCTAATTAAGAATGTCCACTAATTTTTTGTATATTTCTAAAAATATTATATACATGTAATTTAATTATATATAGATATTTATATATTGTTATTCATGTCATATGATTTGGAAATCTTTACAAATGGAGGAGGGGAAGGATTCAGTTACTGCATAGCTTTTAGAAGATAAAAATCTAGCTAACAATGTACAATCATATGAATCTAAAAGGGAAATTAAGTAATTAAATTATTTTCTGTTTTTTTAATAAGCAAAGATAGTATGTTCAGTATAACACCTGGTTTTTATTAATAATTTTTTGGGGGCTGGGCAATGGAGTTAAGTGACTTGCCCAGGGTCACACAGCTAGTAAGTGTCAAGTGTCTGAGGTCAAATTTGAACGCAGGTCCTCCTGACTCCAAGGTCAGTGCTCTATCCACTGTGCCACCTAGCTGCCCCATAATGCCTCTTTATAATGTTACTAGATATTCCTAGTAATGTTAGGATACTTTGATGATACTTTAAAGCCAATTCTTTTCCTTTTTTCTCTTCAGACCTTAAAATTGTCAAGCCGTGTTCTAGATAAAATAAGCACTGGACAGCTTATCAGTCTTCTTTCCAACAATCTGAACAAGTTTGATGAGGTATGTAGCAGCTCATTTAATCTTTTGTGCATGTTATCACACAACTAATGTAAACAACTACACATCTTTACAAAACTCGTAGCTTAGAGCCTTCCTGAATCAGAAAACAACAATGTATGGTTGAACTCTGATTATTATGAAATTCTGATCTCTGCCTCACTCAGCCCTATTTCCTCTGGTTGAATTAATTAGTGATTCAGAAGGGAATTAGCTTGGAGTCTATGATATTACAGAGCTCAGAAGAAACTTCAGCATGGGAACATGGCTTCCTAGTAAGCAAAATTTACTGAGTTATCAGGTCTGTCTTTCCTTCCTAATTCCATTCTTTGACTGCCTATCATACCCTAAGTATTTTTGATTCAGGCCCCTCTGTTAAGGAATGTGCATCAGTCCTTATAACAATTAAATTTCTGTTTTGGCCATAAACAAACACATGATTCTGAGGATCTGGAGATCTATCATGCCCCTGTGCCCTAGCTGCTGTTTTCTTTTTTTTTAACTAAATCATCAGTACGCCATTTGAAATAAATTTTTGACATACTAAGTATTCAAAGTAACAAGTCCTAAACTTAACTGAGTGCAACATTTTCCTATGGAAGTACTCTAAGGTATGGGGCCTGAAATTGACTGAAGTGTGGGTGTAGAATGTGTTGTCAATGTAATTAACATCTAGACTGCAATGTGCTTAGATCCTCAAAGTTTTATTTTATATTACTGTGCTCTCTTTCTGATATGCTTTTGTGGGACATAACTTCCAAGTCTTTTCTTGGCTTTCTTTCTTTTTTTTTTTAACTGAATTTTTCAGGGGCTGGCACTGGCACATTTTGTCTGGATTGTACCTTTACAAGTGGTGCTCCTGATGGGACTTCTTTGGGAATTGCTACAAGCCTCAGCGTTTTGTGGACTTGCTTTCCTAATAGTACTTGCTCTGTTCCAAGCCTGGTTAGGACAGATGATGATGAAGTACAGGTGATAAAGCTTTTCTTGGGGGGGGGGTCCCACCCCCAAATTTTCTTCTTTATGGTGTTTGCAAAAAGTACATTGACATATTCTTAGGACTGTTTTATGTCGTTATCTGACCTACAATTTCACTAAATGGGAATTATTTTAAGGATTTCAACATAACTTTTTGTGATCATGTAGTATTTTATATTTGTTAATCTATTGAATACTTCTAGGAAAATCATTAAAAACTAATACAGTTTTTATAGATTAGAAAATGCATTTGAGAGACATCAATTACATGCACATAATGTAAAGAATCTGACTTTTCAAATTGCTTTCCAGTGACTTTTCCCAGTCTCTCTAGTTTTTTTTTGTTCCTTCAAATGAGGATTACTATAATATTCAAATGTTATATTATCACTGATATGTAGGATTACTATTATCAATAACTTAATTTAGCATTGTTTTGCATTTGTGACCCAATAACAATGCAACATTGATGTGGCATTTTTGCATTTGTGACCGAACTGCCTCAGCAACTCAAAAAAACTGTCTACTGAGGCATGAAAGAGTGGTAATCTGCTTTGGTGTGTGGCAGAAAGATGTATAACTATCTACACCAATTATTTCACAAATACCTGAAGTGCAATATGGAATTGTTATTATTGATAATGATGATCATATGGGTTGAGCAAATGAGAAATCATCTGCAGTCTTTTTTTTTTTCCAAAAGATTTGCAGCTGAATCTTATCCTTTTAATTTTAAAATCTTTGATTCCTCTAACTGGTATGAACAATGCTGATTAAACAATGTAAATTATTTGGACCAGAGAACCATAGAATAACAGTGTTAGAAGAGCTCTTTTGAATCATTTTGTCTAACAGATATAAGACTATACCAGTAAAGATATCCTGAATTTGAACTGATTTAATTTTATTACTTTTTTTTTTTCAGAGAAAGGAGAGCAGGAAAGATAAATGAAAGACTTGTGATAACTTCAGAAATGATTGAAAATATACAGTCTGTTAAGGCATACTGTTGGGAAGAAGCAATGGAAAAGATGATTGAAAATCTAAGACAGTAAGTTATTATCTTTTTATGACTAAAATTTCCAGATTTGTGGCAATTTAGAAATTTAGAAGCTGCTAAGTTGTGTGTTATGCTAACTGTAGCTCCACAATATTTAAATTGTTGCTTTGCAGTTGCTTCTAATATTTTCTTTTTGACCTGGGAGCTTTGAGGCTTAGCTATAATGTTCCTGTAAGTTTTCATTTTGTTGTCTTTTTCAGGTAGTAATTGGTGGATTGTTTTCAATTTCTGTTTTACCTTCTAATTCTAGAACTTTGGGACAATTTTATCTTAATAATTTCTTGAATTATAATGGCTAGAATTTTTTTTAATCATAACTTTCAGGTAGTCTAACAGTCCTTATATTATCTCTCCTCTATTTTCCAGGTTTTCCTAATGACATGTTTTCCATTCTCATATTTTTTTCATTTTTAAAATTTTGTTTTATTATTTCTTGATGTCTTATGAAGTCATTGGCTTCCGTTTGCTCAATTCTAATTTTTACTTTTGGATCTCTTTTTTCAGTTTGTTGACTTTCTTTTTATAATTTTCTTGTTTTTCTTTCATCACTATTATTTTTTCCCAATTTTTCCTCTCTTATTTGATTTTTAAAGTCCTTTTGAAGCTCTTCCAAGAACTTATGACCATTTTACATTTTTCTTTGAAGCTTTACAGGAAACTGTTTTGTCTTCTGAGTTTGAATTCTGATTTTCTGTCACCATAGTAACTATCTATGGTTGGCTTCTTTCTCTGTTGCTTACTCATTTTATTAGCAGCCTGTTTGTTGTTTGTTAACTTTATATTAGGCTTGGGCTATGCTTCTGGGCATGGGGGATAATGTCTCAGGCTTCCAGTTTTTCATGCTGTTGTTTTCTGAGTTCTATCTAGAGGGTCTTTGATTTTTTTAAAAAATTTTTCTATTGTTCTACAATTTAAGACCAGATGTGATCACTGCTTCTCTGGCTCATGCCTTGGTCTGTAAATGACCTCAGGCTGTGACCTGGGCCCCCAGCACCTCCACTGCAAACTCTCTTGCTTCCTGTAGTCTCTCAGATGGCTGCAGACATCAGCTTGCCCCTGTGCCCTAGAACTGAAACCAGGGACTCATTCTCCTGGGAATGACCATAACCGGCAGGGCCCTGCCCCTCTGTGACCACATTCACCAACATGTGCTCACTCCTACTTGCTTATAGCCACAGCCTGAGACCCTCTCTTGTAGCTCACATAGACTCCATGTCCAGAACCAGCAGAGGACCCCATAATGTTCCCCTGACCATCCACCCAACATTCATGGGGTAAAACCTCCCAAAAGTAAGGCTGCTGCAGACATAGCTGCCCCCAGGGCTTGTTGTTTGTTGAATCTGTTTTATCTGTCAGGATGTATCTTCACTTTAGTAAGGCCAGCCATCACCCTGGGAGATGAGATCTTTCTTAATGTCTTCCAAGTTGTCTTAGGCTGGACAATTGATTTATCCCAACTTTTAATTATTTCTGCTTCTCTAAAATTTACTTTGAGGCATTATTTTAAGTTATTTGTGAGGGAATTTGGGAGAGCCCCTAGTTTCCTGCCTTATTCCACTATCTTCCCAGTTTCCTCCCATTCTCTTGATCTTACTAATTAATAAGTCCGTTATACCTTTAAGTAGGTGAATTCCTAGAAGATGTCTGGTCAAGCAATATTAACTATTCCCAGTAATTATGTTGTTGTTTTTCAATGGTTTCAGTCATGTCCAACTCTTTGTGACTCCAGTTGGGGTTTTCTTGGCAAAGATACTGGAATGATTTATTTCCTTCTCTAACTCATTTTACAGTGAGGAAAATGAGGCAAGCAGGGTTAAGTGATTTGCCCACTGTCACACAGCTATTAAATGTCTGAGGTCAGTTTGAACTCAGGGAGATGAGTCTTCCTGACACCAGGCCTGGCCTGGCACAACCAAGCTGTCCCACATAATTGTGTAGCTTCTAAATTATATCTCTAAATGTTTACATCAATAAAATAGAGAAAGAGAAGATCAATGAATTGAGTATGCCATTTAAAAAACTAGAAAAAGAGCAAATTAAAAATCCCCAATTAAACACCAAATTGGAAATCCTGAAAATTAAAGGTGACATTGATAAAATTTAATGTAAGAAAACCATTGAATTAATAAAACCAGGAGTTGATTTTACAAAAAAAAACCCTAAAAAACAATTGGTTAATATGATTAAAGACAGAAGAAAACCAAATAATTAGTATTAAAAATGAAAATGGTGAAAATGAAAATGAAAATAAACATATTTTGGAAAAAATTGGACAAGCCATAAATGAATAAGAATAAATAAGAGAAAATAAATAAGAAAAAATAATTAAAACCAGTTGGATTTACAACTGAATTGTATCAAACATTTAAAAATAAACTAATTTCAATATTAAAGAATTATCTGGAATAATAGGTAAAGGACTCCTATCAAACTCATTTTATGAAACAAATACTGTGCTGATACCTAAACTAGAAAGAGCAAAAACAGAAAGAAAGCTACAGACCAATTTCTTTAATGAACATTGATGCAAAAATCCTAAATAAAATACTAACTAGGAGACTGTAACAATAAGTCACAAAGACAATACCTTACGACCAAGTAGGATACCAGGAAATGAAATCAAAGCTATATATAATCATATGAAAAAATACTCTAAATCATTATTGATTAGTGAAATGTAAATTAAAACAATTTTGACATATCATCTCACACCTATCAGATTGGCTGAAATGACAGAAGGGGGAAATTACAAATGTTGGAGAGGATGTGAAAAAATTGGGACAGTAATACACTATTTCTGGAACTATGAACTGATCCAACCATTTTTAAGAGCAATCTAGAATTGTGGCCAAAGAGTTATAAAACTGTGTATTCCCTTAGACTTAGCAATACCACTATTAAGTTTGTTTCCCAAAGTGATCAGGGAAAAAGAAAAGGAACCTATATGTTCTAAATTATTTATAGCAGCTTTCTTTGTGGTGGCAAAGAATTGGAAATTGAGGGAATGGATGAATGAGTTGTGATGTATGATTGTGATGGAATACAATTGTCTGTAAGAAATAATGAGCAGGATAATTTTAGGAAAACATGGAAAGACCTGCAAGAAATAATGAAGAGTGAAATGAGCAGAACCAAGAGAATGTTGTATATACCATCAGCAATATTGTTCAAAGAGTAATTGTGAATGATTAAGCTATTCTGAGTTATATATGACTATTCAAATCAACTACAAAGGATCTCTGAAGAAAGATGCTATCCATCTCCAGAGAAAGAACTGATATATGGAGCTAGGTATTGTGTAGTTTCACAAATATATCTGTGTCAAATGTTGGCCTCCTCTAGTGCAGGGCTGGGAGGGAGTAAGGAAATAGCTTGGAACTCAAATGTAACAAAAAAAAATTTAAATAAAATAAAAATCAAATTACCTAAAAAGAGATCAAGAGAATGATTTCTCTTTGGTCAATCACTTTCCATTCAGTAGTATAATTCACTACTGTTGCATTTTGTAAGGAGATGTATATGAGGTATCATAGCAAGGTTTAGACAAGAAATGAAGAAAAACAAATGAAAAATCTTCAGTTCTTTTTGCCTGCTGCCTAATGATGGTAGTAGAAAAGTGGCAAAGGGGCATAGGGTGTTTAAGAATCACATAGTTTTTAGATTGAGTACAAACATTAACTGTAGACTCTCTAAAGGTGAGGTCTTGGTCTAATGACCAACGAATTCATATACTGTGTTACTATGAAACAAACACAAGCATTGCAGTAAGCAAACCTGAGTTCAAATCCCTCTTCTGACACTAGCTACCTGTGACACCTTGGGTAGGTCACTTAATATCCCTGAGCTTCATTTTCCTCACCTGTAAAATGAAGCTGTTTGATTCTTTGACTCCTGAGGTCTCAGGATCAATGATCCTATGATCTTGGGATATAGAACTGGATGAATCAACGAAGAAATGGAAGTTGGAGCTAAATGGAAGAATGGATTCACAGGTTTTCCCTGGAGAGGCAAAAAAAAAAAAAAAAGAAGTTGGCGGAATTGGTTTCATCTGATGCCCAAAGGCAACACAGAACATCACTTTATGAGACATATAGCTGTCTCATGCATTATGAGCACAAGAAAAATGCTACTATAAAGATAATTTCACCATATGTACCAATATCCGTTTTGGAGGATGAAAAATTAGAGGAAATTCTATGAGGTACCTCCATATGAAATCAACATCCTCTCCCACATTTACTGACTTTGATGGAACTATGAGCACAAGTTGAAATGTCACTTAAGAAAAGTTGGGAAGAGCGACTGAACTGACATGTATACAGAAGCAACCTATGTTGGAGGCAACATGATTTGAAAAGCCCTCAGAGATTGCTTCTCACATTATCTTAAAGAGGTAAATTACCAAAAGAATGGAGGAAAATCATGAAAAGTGGTGACGGAGAGGACATGAGAAACTAATACCACATGCCTCTTTTAAAAAATGAAATCTCTATGAGCATCATATATGCACATATTGATGGTATCCTTGGTGAAAACATGAGAGGGGAAGAGGCAGGCTTTCATATATGATCCTCTACAGCAGGCAACTTCCTTACAATTTCACAGCCAACTGAATGGTGCAGTAGAGAAACAATTCCCTCGGGTTGGTTTGTTTATTCTAAAAATATATTTGATAGGGCACGACATAGCCTTAAACCTGGACATTTCTCAGCCCTTAATAAATATGTTAAGATCCTATAAGATTCCTGATAGAAGCAACTGTAGAGATAATTATTTAACAAATCTTTGATTATTAGGAAATTAAGGTATAAAATGGGAAATTCTATATTATGCTCACTCAGTGGTGTGTGTTGTTGTTAGAGAATATAAATGAGGCAGGGTATTATAGGGAAAAGAGCCCTGGCTCTAGATATAAATCCTACCTTACATGCCCAATACTTGTGGGACCTTGGGCAAGTCATTTAACTTCCTTGAGCATCAGTCTCCTTATC